AATAATTTAAATTTAATATAATAAAAATTTATATTTAATATAAAATAATTTAAATTTAATATACATAAATTTTAAATTAATTATAAATTTACACTTGAACAAAAAGAATTTAAATTTAATATAAATTAATTTGTGTATTATATATAAAAAACAAATTGAATATAAAAATTTAAATTTGAAATACAAAAAAATTTTAATTTAATATAAAAAGCTTCGAATTTTAAAAAAAAAAAAATTCAATTTGATATCAAACAATTTTAAATTGAACAAAAATTAATGATTAATGAATAATTAAATTATTAATAATTTCAGCATATTAAAAACAATATGTTAAATATCCATTTAATATAAATAAATGGATATTTTTTAATATAAATAAATGGATATTTACCATAAAAAAGAATTCAATTTAATTTAAAAAAAAATACGTTTAAATAAATAGTACAAATTGTTAAATGAAGTAATTATATGAATTATCGAAAACAAATTTATAAAAATACATAAATCAGATAATCAAAATTTTAATTTGTAATAATTAAATCTATAATAACTAAAATTAATAAATAAATAAATGTTACAAGAAGTTTTAACAAATTTATTGTCTTTTTTTTTTTGCATTGTTATACATATATATTTGAGAAATGAGGCTAATAAATTCAATATACGTTATATACAAAATATTTATTCTTTTTTACACAACTTTAAATTCTATTAAAATATCTTTTTTTTATATTTTCATTTAATAATTACAATTAATATAATACAATTAAACATAATTTTTTTAACAAGTCCATGCCCTCCATGACATCAAAAAAAGGGATCAACAAAAATATATAACAAAAATTAAAATATTACGAATATAAAAACGCAAAATTTGTCTAAAAAATCTATTCGTGCTTAAAAATAATTACACAAAATATGTAAAGTGCTTAAATTTTTTTCAATTTTACGAAAAAAAAATATAGAATACGATCCTTGAAATGATTATTAGACTTAATGAAGGAGAACTTGTGGCTTGTAAATTCTTAACACCATCCTGAGCGCATTAAATGGCAAAGCGTTTATAACAGCAATTGCGGTTAATTTCCAGATTCCTTAGCACTTTTAGCACGAAAATATAAATAAATTGTTATTAGAAAAGCATCTGTTTTAAATTTACTAAGTTTAAACTGAAGAAGCAGAGGGAAGGCTACTTGCAAACATCCTTGGAAGCCGCTAGCTACGCTTCGTTTTTTGTTTTTCTCTTTTTTTGTTGATTGAATTTTATCTTTTCACATTTTCTGGCATTAACCGGAAGAAATACCGCTACCCTGATATTTTGGTTTGCTAATTGTAATTAACCACATCAACTGGCGACGTCGTTAACAACCAGCGTCGTGGTGTATGTTTGTGCCTGTACAGCTTTAATAACAGTTGTTTTGGTAGTCGATACTGACTGCTTGCCATTTGCGTCTACCTCCACATTGGACACTTGCTGTGTGTTATGCGTGTGATTGGACAGTACATCTTCTTGTATGCCACCGATTGTTGTTAATTGCACTTCTGTTTTGGAAAGTTGTGGTGTACGTATTGTGTGAGGTGAGCGCATACCACTTGCAGACCCAATTTCATCATCGCTATAGTCGTCCGTAGCACTGCTACGTACACTACGATTTGAGCTTATGTGGGATCGTTGCGGTAACAAATTTCGTGAATTCGTTGAGCTTCGTAGTACACCTGTTGATGAAGTGGCAGTGATATCCTCTTCTGAAATATCATCGAATGCGGGCGGTGGTGTAGATGAACCAGACATAAGTGTGGGACGCACTTGTGACGTTATACTTTGCGAGGGAGTGCGTTGAGGTGTGCGGTTTGTCGCTGTCGAAGTCTTACGCTTCGATGGGGAATGTTTAAGCGGAAAAGTGGGCGTTTTCTTGAATACTGTTTTGCCCATAAAGTTTTGAAAACGCTGCGCATAGAATGATGGTCTACACACTGATACTGTATCGCCATTGTATATTATGCTTTTGAAGGTGTGTTCGAGTTTCTTTTCTAGACGATATGATTGTAATATATCTATTATACCAATATACAATAGAAGTCTTTCATCATTTTCGGAACGTGCTGGTATGCCACCTGTTGGCACATCTTCATCTTCCTCTATAGGCGGATCCATAGTTATAGATTCCATAGCTGTTGAGTGTGCGACAAGTCGTTGGCGGTTCATACTGCGTGTGCGATTCAAAGCGGTACCAGCCGCCTTTAGTGCTGCAGTTGATGTGGGTGCCATATTATATATTGAAATTTGTGTATGATCTGGTTCAGGAACATCATCTACCTCACGTATCTCTTCAGAACGTTGTAGTTTTGCGCGTGCGTTTCGTATACGTTCTTCACGTTTCTCTTTCTGCGCTATGTCCAGATTATGTATGCCTACAAGTAGTGAATAATCCATAATCTGAAAACTTTCTAGTACCATACAATCACGTTGTATTGTCTTCATTAATGCATTGTATTTTTCAGTTTCTAAAAATATGCCATTTGGATGATGTTCCATGAAATCCAAATCTTTAAAAGTTGGACTTGCTTTCTGTCTTTCAACTTTTGATGCTTTTCTGCGGAATGTAGAACCTTTTAGATCATACTTGGCATGCATTTTAATATCCGATGGAAGTAAATTGTTCATTGCGACCAAACGCACATTTTTTGAGTTATAATGAAAGCAATACAAACCAAAAAACTTTGGTAGCAAAGTACGTGGATTTTGGGAGAGATTCATATAATAGCCAGGCAATAGTTTTTGTAAGAATTCACACTCTTTCTTTTGTACAGTTTTTATAATGAATTCATCATCGTCGGTTAGATAAAATATAGAACCTGAAGCACCTGGATTTGATAGCTGAAATAGCGGTGCAGCACACATAGACATCAAAAAATCATCTGGCGCTATACCAAACAAATCACGAAAATAACGAAAAGCAATTGGCGCATAAACTTTAAATCTAAAATCACTATAATGATGCGCAGGTGTTATTGAGGAACCATCTGGTGGAAAAGATATAGTTTCCATTTCCCAAAAATCATTCATGAGTAAATCACGTTTCGGTTTACTAGCCAAGCTGCCCACAGTATGTTGTATGCCCAACTGTATGGAACCCATAATTTGTTTCGATTGTATTTTTTTATATGTCACTTCACCACCTTCATCAACTCGTCTATGCCCGATTTTCTTTTCGTGTTTGCCTATCGTCGATGGATTCCGCGATACAGTAGCATCCAGCGTAGAGCTGGCGCTACGTAGCCGAGTTTGTTGTGTGGCTGCTGTATTGTTCAATTCATGTTGCAAGAAGCTTGTGGTTTCATCGCCACCATGTGCTGCAGCGGTATCGTGAAACAACTGACGGGATGAGGAAGGCAATGCTGGTAATATGCTATTAGTGGTATCGCTAGTTATACTATTATCTTTATTTTCTATTATATTGGAAAGATTTGTTTCCTGTTCTTCGATTTTTTTGTCTGCAATCGGTGTTGATGTAGAATTCAGTTGACTGCTTGAGTTCTCTATTTTTCGATTTGGATCGATTTCAACAAATTCAAAACCATCGGTTGCCATTTCGCTGATGTACACGTAGTCGTAAACAATTTCTATAAAAAAATTTTGGATAGTAAAAAAATGCATAGGTCATACATATTTTATTTTAGAACAAATGCTTAAATAAATGATAAAAAGTTGCTTTATAGTAAAAATTATGCTAATATCATTTAGAGAAATTGAAAAAAACTGACATATCAACACTTTCCACTGCAATTGATATTTTAAATAATACAATAAGATAAATATTATTTATTAATATTTAATATTATTTATTTATAAAATAAAAAATACTTTTTGTAAACCATCTTAAATGTAAATCATCTTAAATCTTAATTTATCGAGCTAAGTCCTTTTTTTAGTGTATTGGTTGTACTGTAAACATCATGCACTTCAAGGGAAGTGCTTCGGTTGTGTTGAATAAGTAATAAAGGTATTACTTCAGATTAGTGTAGGTATTACCAATGATTCTAAGAATCCATTTAGTCCCATTGGCCAATTGAGTTACCGTATATGAACTCAAAGAATTGAAAATAACCTTGAAATTTTAATAAAGCCTAAGCTAATCTTAAGAGGTAGGTTCTAGAGTTAACCAAGATCCTGAAAAAATAAATCACATGGCGAACTCAATGCTATACCTAAAAAGGATTTTCAACAGTGTTTCTCAAACTGTAGACTACAGTAGAATAAGTATCTAATATCAAAGGATGACTACTCTAAAATTTAGGAATAAACATTGAAGATTAAATAGATATTTGTTGCTTTTTATTTACCCTTGTATATCTAAGTATATATGTTTCTGCTTTATACTAAAGTCAAATAAAAAATAAATATATTTATATAGCAAACTAATAAATAATTGACTAAAGTAATTAAAACCAATTATTATCTGTATATGCTATGTATGTATACGCTTTGGACTTAAGTACAAAAAAGTCTATATAAGAACACAAAAAAAAAAATTATAAGCTAATAAATAGTTAATAATTGATTTATAATGAAAAATGACTATTATATATGTGATGCTATAACCACAAAAAAGGAAATGTTCTGAACATTATAGTACAGTCTTATTTCTTTGTTAAAAAATAACTTATTTATTTATTTATCCAATTTTTTTTTAAAAAAGTATTATGAATTCCGCTTCAAATAATTAAGTTATATATAAATAAGTTGAAAAACTTATGAATGATTCTATTATATATATATATATAGACCAACATATAACACATATATTAGAAGTCGTCTACATTTTAATGAGAGCAAGCAACATCTGTTGTCGATCCGAAAATATTTGAAAGAATTCACAAATTTTTATTTTTTTCTACATTATCAAGTGAATGTTAATTTAATAATGTGAATTTATCGACATTTTTTTTTATTTAATGGTTAAACTAACTTTAAAACAGTGTGGCTTAACAGTTGAGGGGAAGTACCCAAGGTATTTGCCTTTAATAAGATTTTATACTTATGAGAGATATTGAAAAAAAATTGAAATAAAAATATGTTTAAAAAGTGATGTATGTTGAAGAAAAAAAGAACACAACGCTAATTATTTCATTTTTATAAATTATTATATTATATAAAAGTATTTTTAATTTAATTTGAATTTGAAACTTTATACAGAGGGCACTTCTAATTTTTAATTATCAAAAATTATCAAAAATCTATTTTATATATGTAGTTTGAGGGAACTACTTGAGTTCATCTTAATCATATTTGGAATAAACTTGTATGACATCGATGATGTAATAAGAAAGACTATTAAAACTTATATAAAAAAATTTTTTCAACTTCTTCAGAAATAGATCTCTAGAAAGCTGCATATAGTAATCTTACTCAGTTGCTCAATAAAAATACTGTTTCAATTTAATAACTATAACATGAATGAAAACAATACATATAATAAAATAAAGTTTGGGAGAAACCCTAGAACAAAAAAAGTGATATGTAGATATGTATCTTTTATATTATGTTTTAACTTCACAGCTGTAACATGAAAGAGAACAATACATATAATAAAATCAAGTTAGGAAGAAACCAGGGAACAAAAAAAAAGTGATATGTAGATAGGTATGTTGAAGAGAAAGGATACAAAATTAATTATTTTATTTTTATGGGTTATTATATTATATCAAAATATTGTTAATTATAAAGTTAGGGTCTAGTGAAGTTTTGCTTATTTCAAATGAATTGTTTTATTGTTATTTTTAGCAATTGTTTTCAATGTAATATTAATTTTCAATTAATATTTATAAACAAAGTTGGAAAAAATTAAATTAATATACAGAAAAACACAAGTTTTCTTTTTGCGAAAAAAATAATTGAAACCATGGTATAAAACAACCTAATGGTTTTCTTTTGACTCTTTTATAGCACTAATTTGATTTTGAGACTATTTTACTTTGGAATTTTTTTTAAATTAAATATTCAACTATTTTATGGTAGTAAAGTATTTTTATGTAGGTAGGCATGTTTACTACAAAGCAGCGATATTATTTTAACAAGCTAAACACTACACTTCTTCTATCTTATAGAATATAAACAAAGTACTTATAGTTGACCTACAATTTATTATTAATAATTTCCGTGCTAATTACCTTTTTTATAAAAATATCTAAAAATTCTTTTTATTCTAAACCGATCACGTTTAGTTGCCATTTTTAGTTCAAGCCAATTTCGAGGACTGCAACTTCAGTGTTATGTGCACTTTTTATCGAGACAAAATTTAAACTAAATTAAAATTCAAGAAACGTCCAAGATTTTGCATTATTTTCAAACTGTGGTTTTTATGAGCTACAGGCGAAGTGCCAAATTAGGGCAATCCCCACTCACGTATAAGTTATGACTTAAGCTATGATTGATAAGTATGAAGTGTACGATTTGAAGGGAGCCTAAGAAGAAACTTACATTGTGTACTTTTAATTATTACTCATATGTATTTCTTTAACTAATGAAATTATATATTCAATTTTTTTTATATTAAATAAAAATTATAAAAAATAATTTTCAAAATATTTAAAGATATAAGGACGGCTTGAACTGAGCGACTTGTTAGTCATTTGAGATACCATAGAATTTAATTCAAGTTGAATATTGAATTAATTATGATAATTTTCAAGTGGATCATGGAAATGAAATAATATAATAATGTAATAGATAAAAATATTTAAAATAAATCCAAATGACTACATGACATATAACCACAAAAGTAAAGTCGATTAAACAAACTGCACTCAAGTTCTATGGCGTAAAAGCTAAAAATGATAAATATTCCTCGTGTCTATATTTTCTACTGGAAACAACGAAAACAGTTTCAAGCAGTCATGGTCAAAAACAATATCAACCAAAAAAAAAAAAGGCGAAACTATAAATAATTTTAAAAAAGCTTAAATTTGATTTCATTTGTATTTTCCGACAAAAAAAAAAACAATACAGAAAAATCCAAATAAAATAAAACAGAAACTGTCACAGTTTGTAGAAAGCATCTGCCTTCAAAAGAAAAGACAACAATTCTTCCCCTCTTCTATTTGCTACCGCTATATTCTATGACAATTGTGGCAAGTAAGCCGATAAAATTTTGTCTGTTGGCTTTTCACAATAGCCTCTCCATCCACACTTAAATACTACAGACATACTATATATATATATATATAAATATATCGTTTACGTTTAGGTAAGTGTGGTTTCGACATATATGGAACGGTTGTATGGAAAATTCGACAGCTGCTTTGGCAAATACACAGGCCTCACGCGTCGATAGTGTTAAAATCTCAACAGTAAAAGCACATAAAAGTGAATAGAATTTTGCCTATGGAATTAAAAACTTTACACAGGGGCGGTTCTAATACTTAAATATCACACTAATTTAGAAAAAAATATATTTAATATAATTTTAATTTTTTTCTTGCCGAAAGTGACTCGTGTTATGACAAAAAGAAACTATTTAAAAGTTAGAAACAAAAAATTTTTAGTTAATTCATTAAAATTTGGCTGACCATACAACACTATTGCTTAGTTTATAGTCCGTATATAAGTGTCAGGCTTAAAACTCATGCTTGTCAAATTAAAAGCGAACTATTTAAAAGTTAGAAAGGTTCAAATAGAAATTAAAATACAACAACAAAAATTTTTTAGTTAATTTATTGAAATTTGGCTGACCATACAACACTATTTATTAGGAAATATTCAAATTTTTTTTAATGAGTTTATAGTCCGTATATAATTTCTTTGAACTGTAAGTGTCAGGCTTTGAACTCGTGCCTGTCAAATTAGAAGCCATGACTAGTCATGTTTTTCCACAAGTAGCCAAGGCTATACAAACATTCAATACTCAAGTTTTTTATCAGTTTTTATTTATTTTTTTTTTTAACGGACACTTTTCAAGTGAAACTATATTTAATGCAGTTTAAGAGATGGTCATCTTTTGACATCTTGTGCTAAACTCAGTTGGGGTACACTTGGGAACATCAACGATGTAATACGAAAGACAATTAAAACTTGCTTGAAAAAGTTCTTTAAATTTCTGCAGAACAATATTGACTAGAAAGCTGCATACAGTAATCTAGCTTATTTAATCGTAGTTCCTACCTATCTGTTGAACAAAGTAGGAACTTAAAAACTAAAACATAAAAAAGAATAATTTATAAATTAGAATCAAGTTAGGGCAAAACTCTACACAAAGAAAAAGGTATTTAGATAACCGGTGACTAATATATATTAAATCTAAACTGACTAGTGAGAACTATATTAAAAATTAAGAGACTGATTTATACTTATCACCCCTCGAACTACTTTGTCAAATTATAGTATGGTCAATTCTAACAACTTATGTAGAATCCCCATAGTAACCCATACCGAAAAAGGTGATTAATAATTTATTTTGTAGAACTATCTATCATCTGATGGCATCCCGTGTCAAAAAAGGTGATTAATGATTATTTTTCTTTTATTTGTGGCTGTCTTCTCAGTGATTATTGGATATAATACCCATTTTTAAGGCCTGTTGAGTTATAATATAGTGCCCTATATTGACACTTGTTAGGATTGAAAT